ACTCAAAAGCAGATCTACATCTTTTTGTTCGCTTGAAATTAAAACAACATTTCTGTTATGAAAAACGATGCCTTTAAACAAAGTATAAACAATTTCTTTATGATAAGAAACACACAAGAGTTAGGGTTAACAGAAAAACAAGAAGAAAAACCATAAGGATTGGTTATAACTGTCATTCTTTACTTTCTCTTCAAATAGATTACAAGTACTCAAGAATAACAAATAACTCTCTCACCCTAATTAGGATTTGTCATACTTAAGATGAGAGACTAGTATGTTATTTATAATAAAACCTAACATACTAAACTAATGGGTTTTTTAATAATTACCCATTACAATCTAACTTAGGGTACACGTTAACTTAAATAATTAGACATGACAAACAAGCCCAATTCGACAACTACATACTAGAACACAATTCAACTACAACAAGTAGGTCTTCAACAATAGCATATGAGCAGACTTCGACGACATACTAAACCTCTGTCAAAAATACTAGAGTTCGATCCAATATCTCACAAATCTTCAACTTGGAACAAACTCTATAACATCAAGAAATAAATTAACTTTCTTCATGCAGCTTTATCAACTGCATATAGTGGAAAAAAGTACAACTGGGTAATATCTTGGTGATCATATCATTAGCATTATGATCTGTCGAAACCTTCAACACTTGAACTTCTCCATGCTCAATTACTCCTCTGATGAAATGAAGCCTCACATCAATGTGTTTGGTTTGCTGATGATAGGCTGAATTCTTTGACAGGTGTATTGCATTTTGACTATCACATTTAACAGTGATAACTCGACCTTGAAGTTTCAGCTCCTTTGCAAAACCTTCAATCCACAATGCTTCCTTCACAGATTCAGTTAGGGCAATATACTCCGCTTCTGTGGTTGAAAAGGCAACAACCTTTTGAAGTGTTGCTTTCCAACTTATTGTTATGCCAAACATAGTGAACATATATCCAGAAATAGATTTTTTGGAATCCATACAACCTGCATAATCAGAGCCGACGTATCCTTCGATTGTTGCTTTATTATCTTCACCCAAGGCTCCATCATAAATTAGGACTCTATTCAGAGACTCATTTATGCACCTTAGAATCTACTTTAATGCTTTCCAGTGAGCCTTTCCAGGATTCACCATTTACCTGCTTATAAGACTTATTGCATATGATATGTCAGGTCTAATACATACCATAACATACACCAAAGAATCCACTATATTAGCATATGAAATGTTATTCATATAAGCTCTTTCAACATCAGTACTGTGACACTGATCTATACTCAACTTGAATTGAGGGTTTGTCAGAGTCACAACAGGCTTTGAATTCAACATACCAAAATTTTCGAGAATCTACCGTAGGTATGCCTATTGAGATAAGCATAATTTCAATTGCTTTCTATCTCTTTGGATGTCAATCTCAAGAATCCTGGATGCAACTCCCAAATACCTCATGCCGAACTCTTTATTGAGTTCAACCTTCACCCTCATTACATCTTCGACATTTTTGCTTGCTATTAGAATAACATCCACATAAAGCAACAAAATAACAAATGAATTACCAGGTTAAAATATGAAGTAAACACAATGGTCAAACTGACTTCTAATGAAACTTATGCGTTCCATGAACTTGTCAAATCTCCTACTCCATTATCGAGGAGATTGTTTCATCCCATATAAAGATCTCTTCAATTTGCACACATGATATTCCTTCCCGCTTTCGACATACCCTTCAGGTTGCCTTATCAGGATTGTTTCATCTAGATCACCATATAAGAATGCAGTCTTCACATCCATTTGTTCTAGTTCAAGGTCAAACTGTGCCACCGTGGCAAGAAACATTCAAATGGACCTGTACTTCACAACAGGAGAGAACATACCATTAAAGTCGACACCTTCTTTCCGAGTGAAACCCCTATCGGCCAATCTTGGCTTGTAGCTCTTCGATGCCACTCCTTCGATTCCTTCGTTAACTTTGAAAATCCACTTACAGTTGACTAACCTGTCTCTAGCAGGTTTCTTGATCAGTTCCCAAGTGTTGTTATCATGAAGATATTTCATCTCATCATCCATGACCTTCAGCCATTCAGTCTTATTTCGAATCCTTATAGCTTCTTTATAGTCTATAAGTTCTTCGTATAGAGCCTCACTTGCATAAATTAAGGCATAATTTATAATATCTACATACCCAAGTCTTTGAGGTGGCTTGATGACTCTCCTCGACCTATCTCTTGCTAGCAAGTAGTCATTATCAGTCTCCTCATCTTCGACAACATCTTCTATTTCTTCTTCGGCTTCATCTGGGATACATAATTCAACATCAACATGTTCCACCTCAACAGGAATCTCTCCCTATTCCAACTCTTCATCAGCATCATCAATTTTCTTGAAGGTCATCTCAACTTCATTGAAAACTACATATCAACTGGTGATACACCTTGTAACGCCTCATATTGCTTTCAGGATTACCGACTGACCCCAAAAACCAACACATGTCTTTTCAGCATACTTTTTCCTCACTCACATGCTTTCCGGGAAACTTCCCAGAAGGTCACCCATCCCTAAATTTCTCCAAGTCAAGCACGCTTAACTATGGAGTTCTTATGAACGGGCTACCGAAAAGAAGATGCATCTTGTTTTCGGCAGCCCGTTCATAAGAACTCCATAGTTAATCGTGCTTGACTTGGAGAAATTTAGGGATGGGTGACCTTCTGGGAAGTTTCCCGGAAAGCATGTGAGTGAGGAAAAAGCATGCTGAAAAGACATGTGTTGGTTTATGGGGTCAGTCGGTAATCCTGAAAGCAATATGAGGCGTTACACACCTCATGTAACTTGGCTCTATGCACCATAACCTATAAGGTTTAACTCCTTCAGGGTATCCCATGAACATGCATTGCAAAGCTTTAGGTTCGACCTTGTCTTGCCTAATATGAGTATAGGCCACACAGCCAAATACTCACAGTTTGTCGAGATCTGATGGATATCCCGACCAAACTTCTTCAGGTGTCTTCATATCTAACGCAGTCGAAGGACATTTGTTTATCAAATATGTTATTGTCAAAACAGCCTCAGTCTAAAATACCTTATTTAACCCAACACTAGTCAACATGTATCTAACAATTTTTCCAAAATAGTTTAATTAAACGTTTTCTTTAAACCATTTTATTATGGAGTACCTGCAGTGGTTTTGTACCTTGCAATACCTGAGGTAGCACAAAAGCTGTCAAACGCCTCATTGTAAAATTCAAGGTCATTGTCAGTTCTTAAACTTTTGACCTTTCTGTCAGTATGATTTTTGACCAGAGTCTTCCAACCTTTAAAATTCTCAAAAGTTTTATTCTTAGTCTTCTGGATAAATACCCATAACTTTCTGAAATAATCATCAACTATGGATAGAAAATACATTGCTCCTGAATGTAATGGACACCTTGTAGGCCCCCAAACATCAGCATGGACGTAATCAAGGGATCCACGAGTTCTTTGTTTGCCTTTGTTGAACTTCACTCTTCAAGATTTTCCAAGTACACAAGGTTCACAAAATTTCAGCTTTTCGACTTTGTCTCCTCCAAGCAGATTTTGTTTCCCCAGTTCAACCAGACCCCTTTCACTGACATAGCCCAATCTCATGTGCAAAATTTGTGTCTTAGACAAAGATTTCTTGGATGCAACATTTGTCAAACCACTTACAACTTCAGCCTTAAGGGCATACAAGCCTTATTTATTCACGCCTCTCAAGATTTTCTTCGACCCCTTCATGACTCTTAGGATATTTTTCTCTCCTTAAAAAACATATCCCTTCTTATCAAATTCAGTAGGAGTCTTGCGAAAGGATGGTAAGTTCGACAAAAAGAAAGGTAAAAGTCAGTAGAAGATTATAGTGGCGAGGCATCTGGTATTCAATGCTATCACTGTAAGAAGAAGGATCACACAAGAAATGTATGCCCTGAACGCCTGAAAGATCATGAAGGTAAGAATAATCTCAACACAACCATTGTTCAAGATGACTTCGACTCATCTGATGTCCCTGTGGTTTCAAGCAGCGACTCAAGAAATTAGTTATGGATTCAGGTTGCACTTGACACATGACTCCAAACAAAGACGTGTTTAAGGAATTGTGTGATCAAGATGGTGGATCAGTGCTGCTGAGAAACAACAAAGCTTGCAAAATTGCAGGTATTGCATCAGTGAGATTCAAGCTCCATGATGAGTCAATAAGGTTATTGACTGAAGTCAGGTATGTACCTGATTTAAAGAGAAATTTGATTTTTCTTGGTGAATTCGACAAGAAGGGATATGTTTTTCAAGGAGAGAAAAGTATCCTAAGAGTCATGAAGGGGTCAAAGAAAATCTTGAGAGGCGTGAAGAAACAAGGTTTGTATACCCTTGAAGTTGAATTGTAAGTGGTTTGACAAATGTTGCATCTACAAAACCTTTGTCTAAGATATAAATTTGGCAAATGAGATTGGGCCATGTCAGTGAAAGAGGTCTGGTCGAACTGGGGAAACAAAATCTACTTGGAGGAGACAAAGTCGAAAAGCTGAAATTTTGTGAACCTTATGTACTTGAAAAATCTTGTAGAGTGGAGTTCAACAAAGGCAAACAAAGAACTCATTGAAAGAGAGAAAAATAATATTTTTATTAAAATATCCTTATTAATTGAGAATAATAAAAATAATATTAATTAAAAAGTAAAATAAAAAAAATACAATAACAATTAAAATAAATAATTTATTTTAAAATATTATTTTATTCCAAATATATCTGAGACGGGGTAAAGTACACTTTTTTTAAATAAAATAGATGCAGGAAGGCAAGAGCATTCCCTTTTGTCTGGTCAACTTAGTGAGTGAGTAGTTTAACGAAAAGAATCGAGTGACTTTGGTGAACAAAAACAAAGAGCGCTTTTAATAGTTTCTTTCTCTCTCTGGATTTTTATCAAACACAAAGAGCGCAATTGAATTGAAGAAGAAACGAAACCCAAAAAACAAAAATGCATTCATTCGGTTACAGAGCCAATGCTTTGCTAACATTTTCGGTTACGATTCTCGCCCTTATGTGCGCGATTTCCTCTCTATCTGACTCTCTCAATTCCCCATCTCCTTCTGCGCAAGTCCAGGTATCTTCTCTTTCACAGATCTGTCATTCAATAACTCTTCCAATTTTTCAACCGTTTTTTATTAACCTGTGTTTTTGTGCGTGTAGGTGTTGAATATTAATTGGTTTCAGAAACAACCAAAGGGCAATGATGAGGTAATTTCTGTTTGTTTTCTCGCTTTCAGGTTGGACTTATTTAGAATTTTCAATTTTGGTTACTTTTTTTGATATGCATTTTATTCTGCAATTAGGTTTATGATGACTTTCTCAGATGTCAAACAACTTATAGTTGTTGCTGATGGTTTTCCTTTTGATATAGTAAAGATCTGAGTTGTTTTTTTGGAGAAGAACTAGTTAGGATGGTGATAGGAACTCAGGTTTTATTTTAGGGAAGAATTCTCCTGTTCTAGAATAGGTAAGGAACACAGTTTATGTAAGAAACATTTTTCTATATTTAATCTGTAATTACGATTGTTTAATGTTTATTAATTATTTATTAAAGTAGGGTGAAGTGGCTAGCACTATTGAGGTAGTGTTGCCACATCAATAATTGCCGGTTGATCAAAAACGTAGCTGGAACTAACTATGCTCCATGAGACGGGAGAATGTACCAGTCAATGGAGCATGTATTGATATCAATGAAGAACCAGAGATTCTTTTGAGGGACTTCCGTAATTCTCATCATCTTCAACTCCTCCCAAATCAAACAATGGAATAAGTTCCTCAAAAAATCTCTGATTCTTCATGATATAAAGGCTTCATTGACGGATGTGCATCCGCCGCCTCATAAGACATAGTCACTTACAGTTGTAGTTTTTGATTCACTGGCAATTTTGATGCGGAAACAAATAGTGATAGTCACTTCACCCCGCCTTAATAAATAATTAAGGGTTTAATGGATATGCACCGACAGTGTAAAATAGTTTTGCACTGTCATCTAATAGAAAACCAGTAGTTTGCCATGTCATTAAAAGAATTTTGAAGTATAAGCGTAATGTGGCGGGATACATGGTCGTCATTGGTTGACAGTGTAAAATTATTTTACACTGTCATCCAATAGAAAACCAGTAGTTTGCCATGTCATTAAAAGAATTTTAAAGTATAAGCGTAATGTGGCGGGAGACATGGTCGTCACTGGTTGATAGTGTAAAATTATTTTACATTGTCAATGCATCACCATTTTCTCAATAATTAATAAACTATTATAATTACAGTTTAAATATTGAAAATTGTTTCTTAGATGGTGTTGCCAGCCATTCTTTATGTACCACTGCAATATTCCCCTCGAACCCATAATGCCTTCACACCTTATTCTGTCTCGTCTTTTGCCAAGTCCTACTCCTTAATATATTGAATTTCTAATCCTCTATGATTCGATTCGGGCAAGAAAGAGTCACTTCAGAAATTAAATTTAAGCAAAGAAAAAAAATTGAAAAATTTATGTATCTGATCTTAATTTTATACCCAATTCATCAATTTTTCATATATTACTTTTTTGCTTATATTTCATTCTGCATATGAAAGGAAACCACTCTCATAAGCGCTCGAGGAAGGATGTGATGTGAACCAAAGAGAATCTGAGAAATCAGATCAACAGAGAGTGAAGCAAAGAGTTCTCTCAAATCCCATACCTCATTCTCTATACTTTGACTTATATGTGAAGTAATATACGACTTTCACATTTCCTGATGTGTTGTATTTAGTGCCAAGTTTCCTTTTTATTCGTGGCTTAAGGTAGAAATAGAGAGAAATCTTTCACATTATTTGAGAGAAAGTTTTTGGAGATAATGGTGATTGAATGCTTATGATTAATATAGTTTTAATCGAGTATTACAATAGCATTGAAAGAATTTGAACAATGTTTCTATTAGTTCCTCCATGTTAGGGGTTCTGTATTGTAAAGAAAAATAAATTTCCACATTCAAGTTAGAGGGCTATCCCTTCTTCCCTTTACTCCTTCCTTTTCCTTCTCTAATAAACTCCCAAACAGAGCCTAATAAGAATATAATAGAACTTTGATGGTCTATACCTCCCTGGCCAAAGACTTTAACTCTCTCAAATGACAAGATATGCCTCACCCCCAATCTCTTTATGTATTTGCGTCAAGCCTTATTTCATCAAATTACTTACAAATTGGCGGGCTTTCTTGTTGGAATGTCCATGTTTTTACATACAACGGACAAGGGGTACTTGTGTGTACATGAAACTAGTCAAGATCAAAGCTAGAAATAATTGGAGAGATCATGCCGGTTCTAGGCCACATAATATTTTTTTAAGCCTCAATTCATTTTTAATTACTTGTATTTTACATATATTTTTCTGCACAAGCTCCAAATCTCAAACTGCCAAACGATATTGTGATCTGAATGTCATACTGGGTCATTGTCATATACCATATTGTTTGTATCACTTTCTCTTACATAATGTCATTCATTTTTCAATCTGAACCGAAAGCATTATTATTCTTGCAGATCAGTGTGACACTGAATATTTCAGCAGATTTACAATCTCTGTTCACATGGAACACAAAACAGGTTATTGATTTCAAATTACATTTTTCATTTAAATGTTGTCTTCTTTCCGGGAAGTATTAACACTTACAAAAAAGATGAATATCAGGACTGGATGGGGAAGAGTGGAAACTGATTTTGGTTTTGCATCTTTTCTATGCTTTCAGGTTTTTGTATTTTTAGCAGCTGAATATGACACGCCAAAGAATTCCTTGAATCAGGTATGATTTGGTTAGTTTGCTTGCAACTTCATTTGATATGTAAACACTAATTTTAAGCTTGCCAGCTTCTTTTTATAATAAGAGATTAAAGAGAAAAGCAATGGTAATAGTGGGTTGGTCATTGATGAATCTTGAATTTTCATTGTTGAGGTAGCAGCTTCTGTGTTTGTTTGCACTATTAATGATTTAAATTTTAATGTCACTCAGATAGCTGTGGTGTCGTTGCATGTTATACATTGATACTGCATTTCTATCACCTTCGAATATATGTTGCTTACTCTCTTGAGATGCAATTTTGTAGATATCCCTGTGGGATGGTATCATTCCGTCTAAAGAGCATGCCAAGTTTTTGATTCACACATCAAATAAATACCGTTTCATCGACCAGGTATATAACTCTTGAAAGATTGTCGAATGTGAGTTGCTTCAGATTTCTTTATGCTTTAATTTTTCCATTTTTTGTTCCAGGGAGCCAATCTGCGTGGTAAAGAATTTAACTTAACTCTGCACTGGCATGTAATGCCAAGGACTGGAAAAATGTTGGTAGATAAAATAGTAATGCCAGGTTACCAATTACCCAGAGAATACAGACGATGATGCCTTCTTGTCATGTTAATGTTTTCTCTGTAACTTTAGCCTTTTCTATAAGGGATATTAAAGGGGAAAATAGCTTTTGAATACTTTTCTTTTTTTTGAGAAATAGCTTTTGAATATTTGAGTATCAGGAATTTCTTGCAGTGTTTTAAAGCTTATTATTGTTCTCCTTTAAACAAATCACGCCATAAAGAATCCATTGAATGTTTGCAACTATCAACTAAGTTGGATTGACTGACACAAATATCATCAAATAATTTATTTTTTTTGTAAATTAATTGAATCAATTTTGAAAAATTTGAATCCAAGTGAGTACATGCCTTAAACAATGTCTCCGCTTAAAATTTTAAAGATTAAATTGGTGATTTATTTTAACTATACAATAGTATATAGAGAACTATAAAAGTTTTTTTTTCTTGGACGAGAAAGATAACTTCATTAATTAGACACAACAGAGAATTAAAAACCTCATGCTCTATGGAGGGGTAGCCAGTGATTCAGGTTTTGGAACCATACAATTTTTCTAAATCAACTAAGTTATGGGCATCAATGTTAAAAACTACTTGAAAACATAATAGAACTAAATTGAAAATGACTAAGAAGCAAACGACAATCCGCCGCAATTTGTCTAGCTTCCATGGGATCGAAACAGGCGAAAATCAATTCCTTCTTCCAAGTGTTCAAATCATTGTCAACGAATTCCTTAAAAGGTAACCTAAGAATATTGAACCTAGGATTATTTGGTAGCCAACTGTCAGTGCAGGCCACCACTTTCTCCCCATTATCAATCCTCCATCTTGCACTGTGGTTAATGAGATCTCTAACATGGATTCAATTTCATGACATATTGTCTCATGCAACTTGTAGCAACTCATAATGTTGATAGGGATTGCCTGAGCCACCGTTTTTATAAGAACTTCCTTCCCCACTCGAGAGAGGAACCACTCTTTCCAACCCTTTATTTTCTTCCAGACTCTCAAGCACTGTTTAAAAATGTCTTTCTTTGATCTATCAAAAACCACCGGTAGCCCAAGATATTTGGAGTGACTTTGAACAGTCTTAACGCTCATTCTGACACGGATAAAGTCTTTAACATCGGCACTCACATTCCTGCTAAAGGAAGCCTCAGACTTGTCCAAATTCACCACCTGCCCAGACGAATCTTGATATTTTTGAAGAGTTGCCAAAATAACGCCAGCCTGAGAGTTTTCTCTAGCAAAAAGGAGGCTATCATCAGCAAAGAACAAATGTGAGATAATTGGTGCCCTTCTAGCAACTTGGATGTCATGAATTTTCTTGTTTTAAACCTCTTTCTTCAGCAAACCTGAAAGAACGCCAGCACACAAAATAAAGAGATAAAGGGATAGGGATCTCCTACAAAAATGATTTTTGGCAGCGCAGAAAAGACAACGCTTTTTGCAAAAGCGATGCTAAAGAGTCAGAAAAAAAAAAGAAAAAAAAAGCAGACTTTAGACAGCGCTTTTAGAAAATCGCTTTTATAGGTGACAGTAAATGTTAACAATAGAAAGCGTTTTATAAAAAACGCTGCTAAAAGTAGGCCCTACGAAAGCGCTGCTATAGGGGTAACCTACGAGAGCGCTTTCAGAAAGCGCTGCTAAAAGAGTAACCTACAAAAGCGCTTTCTAAAAGCGATGCTAAAGGTGTCAGTCTAAGAAAGCGCTTTTAGAAAAGCGCTGCTATAGGGGGTACAAAAGAAAGCGCTTTTATAAAAGCGCCTATAGGTCCTGCCTTAGGCAGACCTTAGAGAGCGCTTTTATAAAGCGCTGATAAAGGCCATGCAAAAACACAACTATATGTTTAAGTAGCATAAATTTAAAAAAAAAACCCAAAAAATTTCATAAACAGAAACAGTCGTGGTTTTTGGCATTCTTCTACAGTCGCGACCGAACCCTACTCATCGTCGACCACTTCCGTCCATTGCTTCTGTCCGACCGCCTCCGTCCGTCGTCGTCCTCTGTTTCCTTCCGTCGTGTTCTACATTGCCGCCTCCGTCCGTCCATTTTGCCTCTTCGTCCTCCACCTCCTCTGTCACGAATTCTACAGGTTTGCTTCTTGAATCTCAAACCCTCCTCTACCACAAATTCTTCTTCTTCTTCTTGTTGCTGCTGAATGTTCTTCAACTAGTTTCCCCATTATCTCTTCAAGTGGCTCATTCAGCATTTGATCATTTATATAATGTTCTATATTACTGTTAATGAATTCAGAGTATATGCTATAAGAAGTATATAATGCCCACTTAGTTCCTACAAAGGAACAATTTCCTTAGCTATTGTAGAATTTCAATTTGCAATTGATGATAACATTAGGACTGAAAAAGTTACCTATAGTTGATTCTGCAAGTATTTAACATAGTCGATGGTGTCGTCCAATATGTAAGCTTGAGCTTGACTACCCTGCAAATTAAAACTTAGTTCATTATAAGTAAATATTGTGAAATTTAGTATGTGTAAAGATATGCTTAAGTACTAGTATATTGAATTCATCAGAAAGAAGAACTTTTTGACATTGTTTTGACATATCTTAAATCATAATGTTTAGTGAGAATGAAGAAGATTAATTAGGAGATGTTTAGTGAGAATGAAGAATATGCTTAATGGATTCCATGTAGAAATTTGTTAGAGAGTTAACAAAGTTAGAAATTCTATTAAAGTTAGTTGTTAGGATGCAATTAAATTGAATTAGAGGTTAGTGAAGTATTAGTTATGAAAATGGAATGTTGTTGTTGATGTTAAAATGATAATGTTGATGGGAAAAAATAATGTTAATATTGTTGTTGTTAGTGTTGATGTTAATGTTGTTGTTGTTAGTGTTGTTGTTGATGTTAAAATGACAATGTTGATGGAAAAAAATAATGTTAATGTTGTTGTTGTTAGTGTTGATATTAATGATGTTGTTGATATTGTTGATGGAAACAAATGAATTAATTTCGTATATATGTTAATGTTATTGTTGTTGATGAATTAATTTTGTCTGTTATAGGGGTTACCTGTGAAGAGCAAGATTGTGATAGTTTCCAAGAATCCTACTGTGTAGTTCAAGAAGTTGGTGATTTCTCTGTAGGTGCTACAGGTATTCACTGTTTTTGTTTAGCTTTCTTAGTTTTGTTTAGCCTACTTAATTAGCATGGATAAAAAATGGATGTCTTCTAATCGATTGTCAAAAGAGTACAAGAATGGGGTATCAAAATTCGTTAAGTTTGCTGTTGAACACGCCGAAGACCCCAGTAGGATCACATGTCCTTACTTAGGTTGCTGTTATGGGCGTCAGATTGACGCAGTTCAGTTGGAATCTCATTTAATGAGACATGGAATTGATCGAAGTTATACATGTTGGATATTACATGGTGAGATAAGTGACGAGAATGTCGAACCGGGGGATAATACGATGTATGCTTCAAATGACAATGGCAGGGATACATATGATTGTAATCTAGTCGAAGAGATTGCAGAAGCACTTGAAGAAGATCTTCAGGATTGTCCTAAGATGTTTGAGAGGTTGGTAAGCGATGCAGAGAAACCGTTGTATAAAGGTTGCACTACTTTCACAAGATTGTCTACGGTATTAAAGTTGTACAACTTAAAGGCGGGTAATGGATGATCGGATGAAAGTTTCACAGAGTTATTAGCATTTATGAAAGAGATGCTTCCGGAGGATAATGTTCTTCCCAATCGAACCTATGAAGCTAAAAAAATGTTATGCTCTACTGGCATGAGCTATGATAAGATACATGCTTGTCCAAACGATTGCATTTTGTTTCGAAATGAATATGCATCATTAAACGAGTGTCCTAAATGCGGTGTATCTCAATATAAGAAAAAGTTGTCACCATCAAAAGTCTTATGGTATTTTCCTATAATTCCGAGATTTAGACGCATGTTTCATAGTGAAACAGATGCAAAACACTTGACTTGGCATGCAGATGATAAAATTATAGATAGGAAGTATCGATATCCGGCAGATTCACCACAGTGGATAAAAATTGATAATGAGTATCCTGATTTTGGAGAAGAAGCTAGAAACCTTCGCTTGACATTATCAACTAATGGAATGAATCCCCATGGTCTACAAAGTATCTCACATTCCACATGGCCTGTAATTATTATTATTTATAACCTACCTCCATGGCTATGTATGAAGCGTAAGTGCATGATGTTATCTATGTTAATTTCTGGCCCTAAACAACCAGGGAATGACATAGACGTATACTTGACACCTTTAATCGAAGACTTAAAGAGTTTGTGGGAGAACGGTGTGGAGGTTTATGATGGATATAGGAAATAAAGTTTCAATTTGAGGGCGATGTTGTTTGGCACAATTAATGATTTTACAACATACGGAAATCTATCAGGGTATAGCATTAAAGGTCAATGTGTGTGTCCTATCTGTGAAGAAAACACAAATTGGACACAATTGGAATTTGGTTGGAAGAATGTCTTTCTTGGTCATCGTAGATTCTTAAATTCTAATCATCACTACCGTGGGTGGAGAAAAGCATTCAATGGAAATTCAGAACAAGGTAGAGCTCCACCTACATTGACCGGCGAACAAATTTTTGAAAAGGTGAAAGATGTAAGTACTAAGTTTGGCAAGCATTTTGCTCATACGCTTGTCACACGTGGGTGGAAGAAGAGGTCAATTTTGCTTGAGTTTCCGTATTGGAAGTCGTTGTATGAGACATTTTCTTGATGTTATGCATATTGGAAAAAATGTATTTAAAAGTGTTATTGGTACGCTACTCAATATACAAGGAAAGTCTAAGGATGACCTTAAAGCAAGAAAGGACTTGGTAACGATGGGAATAAGAAATGAATTAGGACCCTTGAAGAAAGGAAATCGAACATATCTACCACCTGCTGCTTATACTTTATCTAGAAAGGAGATAAATATATTGTGTAAGTTTCTAAGTGAAGTTAAAGTTCCAGAAGGATACTCTTCAGATATTAGAAGACTTGTTTCTATGAAAGACCTCAAGTTAAAGAGTT